ACACCCAACCCTAAACCCATGCAAACATCGCCAACTGTAAATGGTACCATTGTTTGCTTCAAAACAAAACATTCGTTGCGGCAAACCCAACGTCTAACCATTTCCTTGAACAAAGGACTGCAGAACTCAATTGGACTGTTCATATAAAGACACCACTTGAATGGAGTCTCCTCGATACATGTCCTATCACTTTGGCGTAGTATAGAATTAATATCGACTATCGGTTTTGTGTCACTCCATGCCCGCAACCGCAACTACAATTCATTTTCAAACAATAAAACCATCATAATCTCTTTTCAAACAAAAAAACCATCATAACCTCTTTTCAAACAAAGTTATAAGTTTTGATAATATTAAATCTACTTACATTCTTGTAACCTTCTTCTTTTGTGCAATCCATGACTACCAATCCAACAAAATTACAAAAACAATGTAAGATTAACCAAACAACATCTATAAAAAATAATAACACTACAAAATGCAATAGACTTCAATTATAAGTCAAATTGTAAAGGATAAACAAGAAATGGACAACCAGACAATATCATTATTTATATCAAAGGACCTTCTAAAAAACCCAATTCATCCCACCAGATTTATTTCATCTATTAACTTATCAAATATCTATATTACAAGAAAAGCAAAAAAAGTTAAATTACATTATTTTTGGAGGTCCTCTATTCCATAAATTTTGGCACTTGGAAGAAACATTTTCAGTATCGTCAAACCAAGAATGTTTATGTTCTCATGTCCATAGTATCAATCACCACACAATTTATTTATTCAACAAATAGTATTAACAAACCACCAACATCATACATAAATAACATTCCACCGCCATCCAACATGTCATATTTGTACAGCTTACAAACACCATATCATACATAAGCAACATCATACATAAGCAACATCATACATAAACAACATCATACATCTATTATAAATTCATTCCACTCAATACAAATAAACCAACCTTTAATGAACACGTCTTGCAGTGGGAACACACACGAAGAAAAATGTGTGGGTTGGACTAACAATCCCGAAAAGCCTTCTTTTTCGTCCTTCGTTCAGGCGACACTCCGGCAATGCTCCGGCGACACACCCGGAACTCCGCCGGACAAGGCACCGTGCCGGTCAAGGGAAGAGGGAGGAAGAGGGACTCTATCTACCGTTCACGATTCCTTCCGTTCAGGCGACACTCCGGCGACGGCGATGGTCTGGCAGCACTACGGCGGCCACCGCAAGGGTCGGGAACAGGGAAGGAAGCGGGTGGGAGGAAAGTTGGCTGGGTCGGAGGGAAGACGATGCCGTCTTCGTTTCGTCTGCCAACGCCGGGACTGCGGCGACCCTCAATCGGAACTGGCTGGGTGGAAGAAGACGGACTCCGGCGGCACTCGTGGCTGGTCGGAGGAAGACGCACTCTCACGCTAGGGTTCCCGCTCTCTCTCAATCTTCTCTTCTGTCCCAAATTCAAAATGTGAAAACTGGAAATGCAAACCCCAAAATTTCAAACCTCTTTGCAAACTCTCTTTCCACGTCATTAAAAATTCTCAAACCATTTTCCATGTGGACCACTAGCATTTTCACACCTGTCCTGTGTCAAAATATTGTCAAATTCTGTTGTTCAAGTATCATTTCCCTTTTCCATTCTTCCTTAATGTCGCAAAAAGCAAATAACTTTAGTTTGCATTTCAAACCCTAAACTTTGGATTCTCCCTTGCATTTATAACTTGACATGTTACTTTAAACATCTGAGAAATGACTAGTTGAGTTTTTTAAAAAATTTCATCCAAAACAAATAGTATAAAGCTGGAACAATTTTACTTAAATTAAAATTGTGGTATGATGACACCAATTTGGTATGAAAGTTAAAATAGTCATAATTTCATATAATTTTAATTAAAGTTAATGACTTTCCAAAACAAAGTTGTACAATAATAATTTTGTTTATAACATTGAAATCAACATCCTCTCTGTTTCTCCTGACTCGCTCTCTGAGTCCTTGACTCGGTAATGGAAGATTGTATATCTACACAATATCGAAATGTCATGTTAATAGAAAATGTGATATAAATAATCTTAATTAATATTAATTTAAAAAATATTTGTTTATATTTTTAGAATAAGAAATTATTTTTATTATAATTTTTAAATAAAAATTTATTTTTATTACACCATTTAAATAATTCTTTTATTGTAATTTTTATTTATAATTTGTCGTGTATATTAAAATAAAAACAATTGGAGTAAATGTGGCTTAATATTTTTATAATATATTAATATCATATTATTGCAATAGTTAATGTTTTGGAACGTTTGGTTTAAAAACGTTATCTGTGTGAGCTTGAATTTTGGAAAGTTGCTACCAACATTCATTTTCTTTCAACGTTCCATCTCTTTAATGGCTCATTTTCCTTTATTATTTGGTGCATGTTGAACAACTATTTTCTTTCTAAAATACATAAAAACCTTTTTTTCTCATTCTCTCCTTTCTAAAAACATTTTAGGTTATTTTATATTCTAAAAATTTGCTAGAGATTCTAAGTTTATGTTATACAACGAGAACTTACGGAATACACAGTAGATAAATATTTAAGAACAATAAAATTATATAAAAAATACTGTTTTATCAGCTTTTATACAACAAGTACTCAATAAAAAAACTCAATCAATAAACATATATAAGAAAACTAAAGTATCATATTGAAGGAATAGGTTAAGCAAGAGAATTAAGCATCTTGTATGCACTGTGTAATTTAATTCACAGAACTGCGTGTAACTGCATTTGAATGGGTCTTGCTCTTTAGATGGCAAAATGCGGCTTCAGTATGTATTTTCGTACCAGAAAATACTTTTTTCCAACTTAAACAATTCAGTTCTTCTTCGTAAGAACAAAACAAAAATATTTTCGTTAAGAGCACAACTCTGTCATTATTATTATTTTCGTTTCGATTTCGTAATTTCCGATTTGAATTGCTGGTAAAAAAAATGAAAATTTTAATGGATGGAAAGAAAAAAAATCATAAATGATTTTTTTTTTTGGTAAAATGTGTAATACATATCCACATATTTTAATTATCATCTAAATATTCTTTTAATTTTAATTTTAGTTAATTTTATTTAATGAGACATAATGTGTTTTATAATTTTTGTAATTTAGATTCAATTTAGTAATTTTTTTTAATTATTTATCTAGTTATTTTTCTTGTTTTCAATGAGAGTTGAATTTTAACAAAAACTCATTACATAAAACCTTTGAATGAAATAGTTAATATTATAATAAATTAATCTCACACAACAATATAAAGATTTAAAAATCAGGAAAACCACATCCAACTTAAGAAGAATTAAACAAATTATATGATAGTAATAATATTTTTATTTTTCTTTATATTTTTTCTTAGAAAAAGGGAAGAATTTTTATTTAAAATAAAAAAGTTACAATAAAGGAAAGTAATTTAATGTAGTTAATTAAAACATTGAGATTAATTTTACAGAATTATTAACTTTTATTAAAAATGTGTGAAATTCTTACTATTTTAACTGTTGTCTTGTTACAACTTCAATTTAATTTAATTTAAGTGAAATTGTGTTTGACTATACAACTTTTTCACGTTAAGTTGTTTCACGTTGGTAATTTCCGATTTGAATTACTGGTAAAAAAAATGAAATTTTTAAGGGATGGAAAAAAAAATCATAGATGGATATTATTTTTTGGTGAAATGTGTAACAGATATCCAGATATTTTAATTATTTATTGAGCGGATCCACTTTTATATCGATATTTTAAAATAATTAATTAATTAAAGCACACATATTGAGCAGAAAATATGAATAACAAAAAATATATTAAAATTTGGTTCAATTAGATTAAGTAATAAAAATAATTAAAAAAAAGAAATACTTCCTTATGAATAATTTTTTTAAGAGATTAAAATTAAGGTGATCTTAGTTGAAATAATGGAATCAAAACAGGAATAGTTTAGTTTAAAGGCGAAGGCCAAAGTCGTATGAGATATATTGTAAATATCTTTACGCACGATTTAAACGATTTTGGAAAAGGAAACAATAACCATTCATATGAAATATCTATGATTTTTTTATTAAAAAGGCAAAATTAGAACACTGGTTTGTCATTTATTGGAGTCAAGATGCAAAATATCAGGATTTGGTTTGGGAAAAGATAATCCTTCTACTCAAACTAAATTCCTGACTCCTAAAGCCACTCTAAATCTTATGACAAGAAAGCTAAGTTTCTATGCAGTACATATTCACAAACACCGTATTTAAATTCCTTCATAATCGTATCAAGTAAGAAATAGAATTAACTATGCTGAATTAAACAGCTACTGTCAAAAGAGCCACTTACTTAATATAATACTGCAACTTTAGCTAAAACGGAGTTATCTCTAAATTTTGGAATTATTTGATCATCTGAATGAAAAATTATCAATATATGTTCAATAGAAATTTTGAACAAAATAGTGACATCTGCTTAGCTTTTACTCTGTGGATAGAGATTTTAACAGAAAGCTGTGTCAGTTTTTGATATTTATATTCTGTGTAACGTGAAGGGAAATAAAAGAAAAGTAGTTAGAAATATCGAAATTAACTATCAAACATAAGTTGCTACTTCCTACTTTTGTGTACTCTTGTCAATTGTAACCATTGCAGAAGCTCAAAACTGATAACCATCAAAGAAAATATTTCATAGAGCAAAATAACTTGTTCCTGAATGCTATGTTGTTTGCTTCACTTATGAAATATGAATTTGACAGCATGCATCATCACACAATTGACCGCTATTTTCATTTACCATTTGCATGAAGTTGCATAAATGATTATTATATTATTCATGACTGCCAAGGCACGTTCTATGAGAAAAGCTCCAAAAGTTTTGAAATGACTCAAACACTTCGTAAAAGCCATTCTCCCAAGCAGTGGTTGGCACAGAAGCAGCCTAAATCTTTAGCTATCTTGAAACATTTCCTTAGATACTTTCAATGAAATCAGCAAACTCAGTCACATTCTTGTGCTTAGTCCTGTTAGCTGTAGCAAATGGATCCTACGCTGGAGAAATTGTTATATACTGGGGCCAGAATGGCAACGAGGGGACGCTGAGCGAGGCTTGTGCGACAGGGAACTATGATTATGTGATCATAGCCTTTTTGCTGACCTTTGGCAAGGGCCAAACTCCCATGATTAATCTTGCTGGTCACTGTGATCCGTACAGTGATGGGTGCACTGGGTTAAGTTCAGACATAAAATCTTGTCAAGCCAAAGGCATCAAAGTCTTGCTCTCTTTGAGAGGAGACACTGGAAGCCACTCAATTGATGCAAGTGAAGTAGCCACATACCTTTGGAACAACTTCTTGGGGGGACAGTCAGCATCTCGCCCTCTTGGCGCTGCTATTCTTGATGGTATTGACTTTGACATTGAAGGTGGATCAAGCAAACACTGGGGTGATCTTGCCAGGCTCCTTAAAGGGTATTATGGCATGATGGCCAAGCAAGGAAAGCAAGTGTACATAACTGCAGCTCCTCAGTGCCCTTTCCCTGATGCTTGGATAGGAAATGCTCTCACAACAGGTCTTTTTGACTATGTTTGGATCCAATTCTACAACAACCCTCCTTGTCAATATACTACTGGGGCAATTAGCAATCTTGAAAATGCATGGAAGCAATGGATAACAAGTATTCCTGCCGACAAAATATTCTTGGGGTTACCAGCTTCCTCACAGGCAGCAGGAACTGGGTTCATTCCTTCTGCTGATCTCATATCTCAAGTGCTTCCAGCCATTAAGGGCTCTGCAAAATATGGAGGTGTTATGCTGTGGTCCAGGTACTACGATGTTCAGAGTGGTTATAGTTCTTCTATTAAGAGCTATGTTTGAAATCCAAGTTACTGCTTCTCACAAATGAATGTATATAGACATGAAACTTTGATTCTACACTGTCATGTTTTCGTGAGATATATAAACCTATTTTCTGTCATTTGTTGTCGTGTCCAGAAACTTTCAGTTGCAATTGGATATTGACTATAAGTTAACTTGAAGATAATAATACTTTGGAAAATGTTCTTTTTACACCAACCAACTGCAACAGTTAGAAACCTATACGTAGGAGTATTGTGGTCAATTATAAAAATTAATTTTTGTATATAAAAAAAATTGAATGATAAAATAATAAATGTAAAGTATGTATAAAAATTTGATGGACGACAAAAGAATATTACCTCCAACTTTTAAACTTTTGAGTCAGAAATATTGGAAAATCAATTCTGATACTAATGTTAAAACTACAACATAACGAAACCCGCTGTAAAACTTAATTGGATAGGCAAAACTAAAATATATATATATATATATATATATATATATATAAGAAAAACAGGAGTCCCTTTAATAGAAGAGAAGGACACATTGACAACGTTCTTGGGAACACACGTGGTAGGTATAACAATATTTTTTTTTTGATAATATTTTAATATCATCTACGCTTGACACTAATTTTGGATCAATGACAGAATGACAAGTAGACGATATTAAAATATTGTAAACAAATGTTGTCAAAATATCATTATTTTTTTTTAATTATTTGTTTGATTTTTGTTTTTGTCTAAGTGTTAAAGTTTATTTCTTTTCGTTTTAAATTTGGTCTTGGTTTTTTAGAAGTGATTTTGATTTGGTAATTTTCATTAATAATATACAAACTATATTACAGTCCATGTTAGGTATTAATTTGTGATTTTTTTGAATTTTTTTTTAAATTTTTTATTTTCTTTTAAAATTTTAGTAATTTTTTATGTGTCACTTCAAAATTTTGTGATATGTACTGTCAATGTGACATAGCAATGAGACATGGTAGAATCACAATTTAGTTTTTATATTTATTTATTTTTATTTAATTTAGTCTAATTTTTTTTTGTAAAAAGAATAATATTGTTCTTCATTTTTTTAGACATTTTTTGTTGGTATAAATTTTATGCTGATATTTTGTTAAGATTAACATTTTTATTAAATATTTTTGGAAAAAATTAAACTAACTTTCAAATTTATACCAAATATATATAAGTACATAGAGTCCATACTTGAATCTTAAAAAATTATACTATTCAACTTATTGATTTCAATTGAATCTTAAGAAATTATACTATTCAACTTATTAATTTCAAAATTTTCAAGTTGTTTTTAGTGTCTGATTTATGTTTTGTTTCACATTAGATATAATAGTTACGTTCAAATTCCAACTAACATGATTTTAAATAAATTTATATAGATTTTAAAGTTAGTTTTAAAATATTTCCAGAAATATTTAACAAAAATAGCAGCTTAAGATTTATAAAAAAAAATTAACCTTTGTCTTAATTTGAAGAAGGACAATATTGCTTTATTTTTATAAAAATTGAGACTAAATTGAATAAAAAATACAAGTATATGGACTAAACTAAGACTCTAGCATGTGGCATGTCATACCAACAGTACCACATGCCACAATATTGAAGTGACATGTGGAAAAAATTCCAATAAGAAATTAAAAAAATAAAAAAATCACAAATTGACATGTAACAATGATTTATCACCATTTGTACAATACTAACGATAATGATCAAACCGAATCACTTTTAAAAAAGTCAAGACCAAATTGAGATGAAACAAAATTCAAGAACCAATGATAAAGTTGTCGTTGACGCGATCAAATTAATACTATTAAACTATAACAATTTTAATATTGCTAAGATAATAGCCAATAAAATAGAAAGGGTAAATTCAACCCTAAGTTGTCTTCCAACGAATACAAAATTAATTCTTAACAAATTAGTTATTATAAAAACTATACAAAAATGTTAGTAAAACAAAATTAATAAAGAAGATAAAGATCAATAAAAGATTAAAGAACAAAATAACAAAATATAGAAAGCAGTAAATTTATAAAAAGATTTAAAAAGATAAAAACCAATGATAAAGAAAATAGGGTGATTTCAATGCCTTTTCAAAATAGGATTATGTTACCAATGAGAAGCATTGATGCTTTGAAGAGATTTTGATGATGATACACTTGAAGACTTGAAGAAACAAATACATTAATTGTTAAAAGCATTCTTTGTAGAAATAATTTATATTAGGTTATCTCTCAATTGTAAGCACTTAAAAGTATTATAACTTATTCTTTTTTATTGATTTCATGTGGCAATAATCGATTATCACAAGGGATAATCGATTATCACAAGCAAAAGTAGAAAAGGCTTCGTCTTGCCAATAATCGATTATCACTAAGGATAATCGATTATCACAAAGGATAATCGATTATCTTCGCTAGTTTTAATTTATCCAGGGTTCGACAATAATTGATTATCACTAAGGATAACTGATTATCACGTGTTTCAAAACCCATAACTACCTAAGATAATCGATTATCACTTTTCATAGTCAATCTTTGGTAGTTGAGAGCAATCTTTTCATTTTCTGACCCCTGGCCTATAAATAAAAGCCTCCTAAACCTTTTACAGGTTACCAAAACCATTGAGGGCACATAATTGGTTATGAGGAAGTTCTTAAGTTTAAGTGTGAGCTTGATCAAAGTCTTGAAGAAGGAGAAGCTTGATTTTAGTGTGTCTGAAGGTTCAAGTGGTTCTCTACCAAGTTGATTAAGCTGGTGTTCATTCCCTCGTGTGTCGTAGGAAGGTGTTTTCTATTCCTATTTTTTTTAATTACATATATTGTAATCTTAAAGTGATTTTTAATGAAAGGTTAATCACTTTTTTTTATAGTGCTTATGATTGGATGTACACTCTTTTGATTCGAACCAGGATAAAAATTTTATGTATGCTTTTCTCTATCTCTGCATTTCTTTGTTATAAATTGTTCACCCCTCCCCTCTTGGTTTGTGTCCGTTATCATGCTCTTTAAATGTTCCACTGTGCGATACCAATTTCTAGTGATTCATCATTGGTAATCTAAAGATTATTGTTCAATTAATTATTTTCTTAGATTTTCATATTAATGAATGTAAATTCTCAATTAATTTGTTGGTGTTGTTACTTCCAACCAAAGTACATTCTCAATTAAAAGCAAGAATTTGGTAGATTAGTCATAGTAAATTTAACCAAAATACATTCTCAATTAAATATTACTATGTCTATTCTTTTACCTCTTATATAAAGTAAAAAACCAATTAACCAAAGTACATTCTTGATTAATTCTTATTAAAGTTTTACTCTTTAATCAAAGTATATTCTCAATTGGTAAAAAGTCATTTAATCACATAAAACTTTTCATACTTTAATCAAAGTAAATTCTCAATTAAAATTAAAAACCATTAGACTCACATGATTGATATGTTATGTAGATCTAACACCATGCTAACAAGTTATAATGTAAAAATAATTACTTTTACTTGATTAAGAAGCAAAAGACATAGATAAAAATAAATCACAACAAGAATCAAAAGAACAAACAAATTTATTCATCTAACTTCATAATCCAGTTAAGAAATTACAGCAAAATCAACCCGAGAAGCTTAACACTCCATTGAATGTTGAAATAACATGAAAAAAGAAGAAGATAGGGTGGAGTGTAAAAATTGGTATTGTGCAACAGAAAGTTTAAAAATGCATGTTCGGACACAAATCAAGAGGAGATGGGTGAATTGGTTCTATTAAAAATTTCGTTTTCCCTTTAAAAAGTTTCTTTGAATAGAATAAGGTAAAATAGAGAAAGGATGAGAAGATTCACACAATCATTTTTCACATTGGTTTGAATCAAAAGATTCTATATCCAGTTGTTAATCACTCTAAAAGAAGTGATTAACTTTTCACTAATTTGTTTTAATAATATAATGAAAATGAAGAACAATGTAAAGTAGAAAACACCTCTCTTAACTGATAAGAGATCATAGCAGCACATTCCTTCGACAAACAATGGAATTTAATTAGATTGAAACAACTTGGTAGAGAACCACTTCCACCTTAGACACACTAAGATTAACTTCTCTTTCTTCAAGCGCTTGATCAATCTCACTTAAACACTTAGAGCTTCCTCAAAACCAATTATGTACTGTATAATAGTTTAGGTAACCTTCTAAGAGTTGTAGAGAATTCTATTTATAAGCCAAGGTTTGTTAGGGTTAGAAACTGAAAAAGGCAGCTCCCAACTGCCAGTAATAATCGATTACCAAAAGTCATAATCGATTATTTTTTGCCATTATAAGGTTTTGAAAATAGTGTAATCAATTATCCTTAGTGATAATCAATTATTGTCGAACCTTGGACAATCATAGCTTTTGATGATAATTGATTATCCTTAGTGATAATCGATTATTGCCGAATTGAGGTCTTTTTTAATTTCACTCATGATAATCGATTATCCCTCGTAGTAATTGATTATTTCCGAGTAAACTATACTAAAGAGCAAGTTACAAGACTCTCAATGGTTTACAAGTGAAAATAAAAGCATACTACAAAGGTTTCTAAAAAGATGCTTTAATAATGTATGTAAATAGTTCTTCAAGTCTTCAAGTGCATCATCATAAAAATCTCAACAAAACATCAATGCTTCTCATTGGTGACAATCTCTTCCTTTTTGATGATGATCAAAAACATCTTTGTTAAAGGCACTTTTTAATCTATCATGCATGATTTTTTTTATTAAGACAAAAACACAAAAATTATTAGCTTCAAACAATAATAACACATGAATTTTGTTATCATTTATTCTCCCCCTTTTTTATCATAAGCAAAAAGCTTCTAAGAGGAGAGAGTCCCCCTTAACATGACAATCCACCAAAAACAGAAATAATTTTTAAAGAAGATTAAAAGAACAATTGCATTCATAGTCAAAGCATCAAAAGTACAATACTTAAAAAGATAATACAACACTTTAAAAATCAAGACAAG